AATTTCAGAACAATATCGAGTCTTGGTTCAGTTAAGGGAAGTAGTGGGGCACTAACCCCAGAAAATCTCTTCGTGCTATTAGAATTTACTCAAGGTCGACCTCTTTTGCTAATCATTCCAAAATCACACAAAGCAAACGTCTTTAAGATGGATAAGTCACAAAATGCAGCTTCTGAACAATCCATCGCAAATGAAACACATGCAGAAACTGAGTCAAGTTGGAGGCAACTCTCTAATGGCAAGCCTGAGTCACCACCACCACCAAGAAACGATCTGCCTCCATCCTCAGATCTACCATGGCTTAACGAAGAGATTGAATCTTTCAACACGGCTCAGGAAAAGGCCCGATCCGAAGAAAGTGATGAACATCACGGCACCTCGGTTCTTGAGACAGATCCGTCTAAGGCAGTCGGTGAGACAGTGCATGTACCAGAATTTACAAATGAAGCTTCCTTGGAGGATCCGTTGAAGGCTGCTCCGGCTGATGATTTGGTTTCAGATGCAAATCCTAAGGATAACGATGAGTCTCCTCTTCCTCTGGTGGTCTTGAACAAAGAGACAGACTCGACTGAAAAGAAGACTCCGAGTGAAGCTGAATCTGAATCAGGTCAGCATAAAGAAGAATGAGACAAAAACAAGGAAGTCATCTCTTTGGGGTCTACATCTGAAGACACCACCGAGAAGACCAGCCGGAAAAATGGGTCTTGAAACGTTTGGGGTTGAGATCGTCAAAGAGACAGAGGAAAGGAGAGTCAAAGTGCTCCAACGCAGAATGCTGTTGAGCCTTCATCGTTGCCTAAGGAGTCTGTTGTATCAGTTCGAAGTCGATCACGGAGAGTCTCTGACCAGAGTGCTGATCCAATTCCTGCGGAGCTCAAGCAAAGGTATGATCAATTTCTCAAACGTAAGGTGATTGCTGAGAGATCGGTTGATATGAAGGAGACGGATCAGTGGGGTTATTTAGCCATAATTCAGAAGGGTTCGATGGAATCCACTGTATCTTCTTTAAATGTCTTTTTTTGAGCAAGTTGTGGCTGATTTTTATGATGGCTTACCTAGTACCAAGGTGGAAGCGGACACAGAAGATGTAGTCACTGTTCGTGATCATCCTAACAAATTTTCTCCAACAGTAATCAATGCCACCTTGGGTCTTGAATCACTTACTAAGGAAGAAGAAGATCTTGAAGCAACAATGGATGAAGCATCAGTTACTGAGTGGACAGTATTTCTTACTGATGGAACCAGAAAGGAGTTGGACAACCTCAGTACGACTGATTTGATACCTTGTTATGGAGCACTCATGATCATTGCTGCTCACGATTGGAGTCCATCTACCCACAAGACACATGTATCTCTTGATAGGGCAAGACTGATCTACAAGATGGCTCACAGCATCAGAATGGACATGGGAAGGTTGATTTTTAAACAAATCATGAATCTGGGAGTGATACAGAAGAATGACTCATGATGGTTGATCTTTCCACGATTAATCATAGGACTTCTTTAGAAGCAGCATCAGGTTCCATCTTACTCTAGTGACAAGGTTGATCGTGCTATTGCTTACAAGAAGTATAAGCGAGTGGAAGAGATCTATGAGCAACGCAAGGCTAAGGAAAAATCCACAGAGGAGTTGAAAGGGAGGAAGTCTACACACCCATCTCGTCTGTCAGCATCTGTCTCACCAACTCCTACACCAAGCTCTAGAACTAGACCTCGCCGAGTGTTTATATATGAGCTTGGATCCATTGCTGTTTCCCAGGGCGTACTCACAAGAGCTGATCTGCAAGCTGCCTTACATGACATGACTCGGGTTCTTCAGACCTTGGCTGAGGTTGTTCGGGATCTTCAGAACTCGGTGGCAGGTTAGGATTCTTTTGTTTTACAATTATTCTTTTCTTTCTTGTGTTTTTATTCCGTGTGCTCACAAGCAGGGGGAGAAACTGAAGAATGAGTGGTAGAAGGACCTAAGTTTGTGGGAGGAGCAGTATCGTTTTTTCGCATTTCTCTTATGTTTCAGACAATGTCGGTTTATGGGGGAGCTTTTATGTATTATCTGTCTTAAGATGTACTAATGCTTCAACCCATTTGTTTTAAGATAATCTAAGTATGCTTTTGGTTCTTGGTTGATCTGATTATATGAAATGTTAGTGCAGCGTGTATGGTTGTGTGTATGTGTGTGCTTGTCCTTCTATTTCATCTCAATTACTTGTGAGACGACGAATTAAAAAGGGGGAGATTGAAGATGTATGGTCAAGACGATGATGTAGCAAATCAGAAGTAGTTCATGAAGTGCGACATGAACTACGATGTGAGACGATGAAGTCGCAAGAAGCACATAACACGACGAAGTCATTAAAAGGAAGATTTAATGAAGAGTCTGGTAAAAAGGAAAAATCTTGGAGAAGAAGCAATCGAATCAAAGGAAAAGGAAGATTGGCTTATTCGCTGAAGAAAAAGAAATGGAAAGTTTCTATTAGGTAGAACTCTAGGTCTAGGGTTTCCTCTGCGATTATAAAAGAGGTACTTGGCATGGTGTTGCCGTTTAACACACAGGGAGAGCTTTTAACAATAGAGGTTTTGTAAGTCCGAATAAGAAGAAGCAAAGCAACTAGGGGTTAAGAGTTAAGTGGTTCAGAGACTATCATAATTCTTTGAACGTATAGGCTAGTCAACAAGTCAAGGTTTGTCTTGAGCTTGATTGAAAGATTGCTTTTGGAAAGAACTTGTATGTGTTTTTAAAAGAAACAATCTAGTCGAATTTCTTGAAATTACTTATCCATGAGTCACTGTGTGTTCTAGTTTGTGTAGTTTATTTATCTTATATTAACAAAATAAATTTTGGGAACAAAAACAGTGAGTGAGTGAACAAGAGAAATAAAGATGATGGAGAGTCTGGCCGAGAGTAGTTGAGTGGAAAGGTCATTGTTGTCTCCCAAACAAATGCTAATTTTGTGAGAGGTCAGTTTGATCTCTTGAAGACGATCCAGACCAAGACTCGGATTGCAAGGTTTAAGAAAAGTAGCAGCAAGAGCTAGAGCGTAAGTAGAGGAACGCTTGCAACGTTTACACTTAGAAATCATCACCCTCTCTTGTTTGTGGCCTCTCTAAGCTTAATCTTCTGTAATAAAACTTGTGGTTTAAGCTAATAACTATATGATCAAGAGATATATAACACACAACAATTACACCTGAGGTTAATTATGTTTCTCCAATGCATTGACGTGATTATACTTCGAACCTGTAAGTCACAGCTATGGATTATTTGGGAGTCTTTGCAGGGGATGAAAAAGAAGCCCATGGATGAAGAAGATGAAGAAATCAGATCACCTCTAACGGCGGCTTTATAATCGTTTGTTTCTTTTCTTTTTCAATCTATTTTCCTTTTTTATTTCAGTATCCTTTTTAATTAATCTTACATGGCAATTTCATTGGCCATGAGGAGTGGGGTGAATTTAAAGATTCATCTAGAGAAGGTGAACCTAAGTTTTGTACTTTTTTGTCAAGTTCAACATATTGTTTTTTTTTAAAATGGGCTTAGACTGTTTTAAGTGATTAACTAAATGAGCCACATCAATACCATTAAAACGGAAACATTCTGTTTGATGAATTTTTTATGTTTTCCAATTATACCTTTATTATTTTTATATACAAATTTAATTTATCATTAATGGTAATTTTTTCATTTTTATTTGGGCCTATAAACTATATAATAATAAATTTCATTAATGGGCTAATTCTCTTTTAAATTTTATAAAATATTTATTACAAAAATATATTTTCTTTACGGGTCAGACGGATCAAATTTTTGAGTCGTAAAAAGGACTCAATCCGCTGCAGAGCGGGTTGGACGAAGCGAGTTTGACCCGCTTCCCATTATCAGACGCAGTTAATCGATATTATTTTCCCAAAGAAAACTACACAATTATATACAATACATTTACATAGATATTGATGATAATAATAAATTAAAATTTGCATTAATTTTAAAAAGTTATATTAGATAGTGAAATTTTGTAATTAAATGATTATAGGAATTAATCACAAAACTAAAAAAAAGGGTCTTTTAATTGTTAAATATACAATCTTTCTTAAGTACAAATTTGATGTACAACCATAGTTAATATATTTAGGAACATAAAAAATTTGTCTGGGACATTGTAAAATAAAAATTTCTTTATACTCACATGATAAATTGATCTTGATTCTGTGACATTTTATATATCATCAAAGCAAAAGACTTATCAATACATCTATAGATAAACAACAAAACTAGTATCCGTGCTTAAAGAGCGCTGGTTGAAAATTTAGTATACATTTAAATGTGTTTTTGTTTAAAACTTGTTGCATACCCAAAATTAATATGCACCATCTTCATTTTTATTTAAAATTTTGGCACAATAAAAATATAGACTTGGGCAAAAATCCGAATCCAAAAAAACTGAACAAAGGCCGATCCAAAAAATAGTACTGAACTTCTTAGAAAATTGGTTAAATGTCCGAATGGATTCAAAATTTTGGTATCTACAGAACGGGAACCCGATTCAAACCGAAATATTTTAGGTATTTGAATCGATCCGAACAAGATTTATATACTTCAATATATTAATATACAAAATATATAAGATGTTTTTAAATTTCCAAAATACTTGGAAATATATAAAAATAGTTATAAGTACATGTTTAAAATAGGTAAAACGTTACTTATAACACCTAAAATACTTAAAATATCTATTAATTTTCTATCCAAATATTTTAGTTTAACAAATTTTTATGCTAAGTGTAAGTGTTTTGGCGTACATTATTTTAATTTATATGTATTTTTATTTTTATTTTTAGATTTTCAAAAATTTAAAGTATATATTGACTTTTTGGAAAAAAAATAAATAGGTTATCTGAACCCAAACCCGAACCAAACTCGTAAAATTCGAACCGAGCCAAATAGTACTCAAATGTCCACCTCTAATCTAATGTAGAAAAAGTTACTAATAACAAATGTATATTTTATAATATTTAAGTACAATATATATTTTAAAATTTTACCCTGGGCAGGGCTCCGGTTATATCTAGTAAATAATTATACAATGGAAGAAAGCTAAGTGATCCCTTTTACAACTGATTAAACATATACTAAATCTTACACAATTCATAACACTAAGCCGACGAGTTATTGCTTGTCGTTTTCTTGGAAGAAGTAGAAGAAGAAGAGTGGCTCTGTTTCTGTGAAGAATTATGGCTCGAGGAAGATGACGACTCAGTGAAGAATACAACAGATCCCTCGTTTTCAACCAAAGCTTGGACTGATCTCGGAAACGGCGGCGTATTCACTTCCAAAACACCTTCAAGAATCTGAACAACTTGACTCATCGCTGGTCTATGACTCTCCTCGTCCTGTATGCACCAACACGCCACTTTGCAAGCTCTCGTCAGCTCCTCAACATCCACAGACTCTCCCTCTAGTCTCGGGTCAAGCAGCGAGCGGATGTCTTCATCTTTGGTTAGCACGGTCGCAGCCACACTAGGAAAGAATCTAACCTTCCCATTCTCCGACTGCTCAGTGTTTCTTCTCCCCGAAACAATCTCGAACAGCATCATCCCGTAGCTATAAACATCGGCTTTCGCTGTTATCGCCACTCCGGAGATCCATTCTGGTGCGAGATAGCCTCTTGTGCCTCTCATTGTCGTCAAAACCCTGCTGAAATCTCGCCCCACGAGCTTAGCTAAACCGAAATCAGCGACTTTTGGACCGAACTGCGAGTCTAACAAGATGTTTTCGGGTTTGATGTCACAGTGAATGATACAGTCTCTACATTCATCATGCAAGTAAGCTAATCCTCTAGCGGTCCCTAACGCGATCTGGTACCGCACTTTCCACTCGAGGACGATCTTCTCTTCCGCGGTTTGATTAATGAAGAGATGAGAATCTAAAGAACCGTTAGGCATGTAATCATAAACAAGTAGTTTCTTGTTACCTTCAGAGCAAAACCCACGAAGCCTCACTAGGTTCATGTGTTGGATTGTTCCTATTGTGACTACTTCCGTCCTAAACTGCTTCTCTCCTTGGCTAATACCTTCAAGCCTCTTCACGGCAATGACGCTAGAATCTTGTAAAACTCCTTTGAACACCGAACCGAAACCTCCTCCTCCTAGCTTCTCCGAGAAGTTCTTAGTCGCGCTCTGTAACTCTCTATAGCTAAACGCAGCCAATGTACCATCACTCTTCTCTCCTCTCATTCTCTTCCTCCTACGGTTCCTCAAGATTAAGATGACAGCCAACATAACAAGAGCTATCACCCCTAACGCGCCTAGAGCCGCGCCAAGTATCATCACTTTGTTACTCTTACTAGTAGAAGAATCACTAGGCATGTCGGAAGCAGAGAGTCTAAGATACAACGTGTTCCCCTCGCTGTTATCTTCCTCGAGTTGTTCAAGATTCAAAACCTCTTTACTCCACATCAAGCATCGGTTCGAGCTTTCGTCATGTGCATAAGCCATACAAGAACAGTTCCCTAGACAAGCCGACCCGCAAATACCAAGACTCGTTACTCCCAATACCACTGAGTTGTCAGGTAACTTCACGTTAGTAAGAGGCAGAAACTTGTTGATCTCTCCACGAGAGCATTGTAGCTCAGTGTTTCTAACGCATCCCGCAGAGTAATCCTTCAAGTCCCAGTCCTTTTGCGACACGGGGCTAAACCCATGAGGGCACTGGCAAAAGGGTTGAGACTTGTCATTACATATCCCAAAGGAGCCACAGTAAGCGTAGACTTGGCACTGTTGCCGAGGCTGAGACCAGAACAGGTTCCATTGGTTGTTGTTATTTAACCAAGTGAACTGCTTGATCTGTCCCGAAACATCCATAGCGAATCTTGACACGTTCGCGTGGTTATAGAGGGAGTAAGTGAAATACGACTCTGATTCTTTGTCGATGAAGCTGAAGTTGTAGATGTAGTTGAGTCTCATCTCCGGGACTGAGTCGAAGATCTTGCTCTTATTGTTCCAAGGACCACTTGACCAGTATTGAGTCGACCCATTCCAGAGGATCTTGTAAGCTGTGGACTCGTCTAGCTCGAGAGAGAACAAGCCTGGTGATGGGTCTTCAAGACTAGTCCACGACGTGAGTCGTTGACTCTTCTTGGTTCGTTTGTTGTACCGGATTTTAGCTCCTGGAAGCCACGTGTCACCGAGGTGATCGAAGCTTTGCCATAGAACAGAGCCTGAATCGTCTCTGAGAAGAAGATTACCGTCATCTTGCAAAACGGCCTCGTGAGCATCAGAGGAAGAGTTGAGACCGGTGGACCAAACTAAGTTGTTGCCGTCTAGTAAGACTAAGTTACCGTTGGAGATTTTGAGAACTGCTGTGTTCTTGTCGGAGACTGGTTTGTCACGGTTAGCTACCCAGACGACTGTTTGTTGTGAAAGTTGTTGGTACCACATACCTATGTAGAAGTTTGAAGAAGAACCAGGTTTGAAGAAACCCATTTTGAAAGTTCCGTTGGAGGAGACGAGTGACTGGTCTCCGGAGAGAGCGAAGTTGGCGGAGATCGTATCGGCGGCGGAAGTGACATGGATGCAGAGGAAGAAGAAGGAAGAGAGGGTGAAGAAGAAGGAAACCATGAGAAAAGGTTAGAGGAAAGAAAGAGAGAAAGATGAAGAGAGATCATATGAAGAGTCTGTGCTTTCTAAGGAAAAAGAAGATACAAATCTTTATGAGTTTACGGTCGTGTTCAGTGGGTCAATGACGAATTAGAAAATTTCAGAAAGAAAAGAGAGAAAACATTTGATTTTTGTGGTTGGTTGTTCGATGGAGAAAAGTCATAAAAGTTACAGTGGATCTTTTCTTGACCTCGTCAAATTCAATTATTATTATCGTTGTTAGGCACATAGCCACATTTATTCAGAACCAAAATCATACCAAAATACACGAAAACGAAAACCAAATTGAATTATATAAATAATTAGATATTTTATATCTGTAAAACTGGAACGAACTGAAAACCAAAATTTTCAAACACATATGACATATGGTATATCTTAAAATATAAATTATATTTAGTTTCTAAATAAATAAATATATTAGATACTGTATTATTTATAAACTGAATTACCTGAAAACTCCAATTATCCAAACATTTTTAATCCAAAATATTTAAATTATCTAAATTACCAAATTTTTTTATTGGAACAATCAGAGTCAATATTTATTTTAAAAACGTGAATTATCATATGTTTTATCTATATTATCTGAAATGCTTGGAAAAATGGTACCGATTGGACCAAAAAATTTTTTTTATTATTAAACGGTTTCCAATTCGCCACTCAGCTGAACCACAATCCCAAATAATAAACCAAAATCAAATCAAAATTTGTAAATAACCGAACACATAAATCTGAAGAACTGAATAAAATAAAGAGAAAATGACTAGAATAGAGCTAAAAAAGTTTTTATCACAAATATAGATTTTAACAATTAAAATGACCAAAATAACACTTAAATGTTTTATTAAATTTTTTTTGTTTAGAGTTAAAGAATGGGTTTTGGGGATAGGGTTTCGAATTTAAAAAAATTAAAAAAAAAACTTAAAATTTTCAAAATAAAAGGTGATATTTTGGTCATTTTAATTTTTGAGGTATATTTTTGTGATAAAAATTTTAAAAAAGACTATTTAAGAGAATTGCCCTAAAATAAAATCTAAAATACCAGAACTGAAAACCGAACGCGGCTAGTTGTTGTTGTGAATATAAATGCGATCGATATTCATAAGTTGCATTTAAATCGAACAAACACCTATATCGTACTATGAGTCTATGACTGATGTCAAATGACGCCACCTGTGTTTGTCTGCAGATGATTATCTTCTCTGATTAGTACAACCTCCTTTTAATGTTAGATCAGTTTGTGTGATTGTAAAGAAGTTTTAGAGGGAGGGGACTCTCTTTTAATCCTGATTTATTTGGTTGATCATAAAATACGAAAATTAGTATATAGATGATTTGTTATTAATAAATTTAGGAACTCATACCTAATAGTTTAATTAAGACTGGACATTTTATCCGTTAAATTTGATTTGATTCTATTATTCGTTTCGATTACTTTGAGTCTTTGGAGCAAAATAAATATTAAAAATCAATATCCGTTGAAAACGAAATACATCATAAATACTAAAAATTAGAAGTGGATATCCGATCCACTTCAAATTTTATACAAATAGATGTATCTATAATTACATCTTAAATGAATAATTTATATATTTATTATTTTTAACACAGAATTCTAATAATTTTATTTATATAATTATTATAAAGAAATTCAATTAAGAAAGAAATATAATATAATTATAAAACTTCTCACCTATGGAAAACAAATAGCGTACTAACCGGCACCTACAATACTACAATTTTCTAATGTTTTTTGTATAATACAAGAATAATTAATTTTTACAATTATAGAACATATAGTCTCATTAATTTTTATTTTATATTATGTAGAAGATAATTAAAAAAAAAAACTTGTATTGAACAAAGATGGAGAGATATCCGTAAATATTCAAAATTTTTTTATAGATATCCGAAAAACCGTATATCCATATTTTTGTAAAACAAAACAAATTAAAAATCATATATTCGTCAACTACGAAGTAAATCATAAATACTGAAAATTATAGTATTATTCTATGTGTGACCATCCTTAGTTTTAGTTGTAGTTACTAGGAATCGTCTTATTCAGATACGGAACAACTCAATAAATGAGTGATGTACTATAGAATTAGGAGTTTTGTCCACTCATGCGGAAATAAATATCTTATATATATTTAAAAGGTAAATTAAAATGAACTAAATTTTATGATAATCTAAAAAGAAGGGTGAACTGAAATAATGATAACTAGAATTTGCTCCACACATCTACGCGGTTGGTTGTTTTTAATTTTTAAAAATAAATATTTCTTTTATATATAGTAATATATAATTTTATAATATATATGTATTAAATATTTAATTAATATGACATTTATAAACACAATAGTTTTATATTTTATATCAAGTAATTTGTTTTGACCCATAATTCCTTATTGATTATCAGTATGGAGGAACTAAGAAAAATATTTTTGTTTGGAATTTTCTATTTTTGATTTTGTTTGTTTAGCAAGACTACAAAAATTATTGGAGTAAAAATAACTAAATTAATATTACGTATTAAAATATTAATTTTTGTAATTGGTTTGAATTTTATATAAAAAAAAATAAATTATTGTAGTTTATATAAAAATAAAATTTTAGATTACAGGTATCTACATCAATGATAGTACATTAAATATTTGAAAGTGAAGAATACGTGATATTCGTATGGTAGCAATGACAAATTGATTTTCTCAGGTGATTATTACCATGACTTTTTAGTTAAATTGAGATTTAGGAAAATGAATTAATTAAATAAAATAGTAAAGAAACATAAAATTTAGGTTATTAATTATTTTAGTGGCTTTAGCTAAACTGTAAAAGATAAAGAATTTTAAATACAGGTTCAATAAATATTTTAGTGGCATTCTAGTGTAATTAAGCTGTAAAATTAAAATTCATTTCTATTTTGTACTTTTTGTTTAATAATATAGATGTTTTATTGCATTACTCGACAAATATGTGTACAATGTTATCTTACTTTTTTTATAAATTATAATATTTTATGAAAGATTAAACATAGGCGATGCTAAGTTTATTATTATAATACACTAGGGATCGTCCACTCCGTGCTTGCGCGGAGTTATTACCGTTGGTATTGTGTTGTTTTTATCCATGAAAGAGTGACTCATGTGTTGGGAAAGTTCTTTTTGCCACTGTGAAATGAATTAGATTATTTATTGATTCGTAAGAGTTTGTGGTCAGATTTTGTAAATGAATATTTATTGATATATGGATGGATTGTTTTATGTTTTATGTTTTATTTGTTGTATTGGACTTGGATATATATGTGTATTTAAAATGTTGTTTTAACCGTAGTTTATGACTATTTAGTTTGTTTGCATTTGTTTTCATCTACGAAAGTTATTTTAAAGAGAAAGGAAAAAAAAATCAAGAGCTTTATGCTCTCAGTCTGAGTGCTTGGCTACAGAGCGAACATTTATGCAATGTTTACATGAACTATGTCTCTTTAAGAATGCATGTCACCATGTAACGTATAATGATTGATTCATTTGGTTGTAGACATTATCAATATGCCAAATGCAGTCAACACTGCCTTTTAAATAAAAACTTAGTAATTGTCCTCTTCGTATGAGGGAGTTTGCCGAAAACTAAAGAGAAAAACCAAAGTTAAAAATCATATATATAATGGATTCAAAATCATAACAGCTCTGAAAATATAGAACATAAAAATTGAAACTATCATTCACGCGTGCATTAGCGGCTATTCTCTTCTGCTTCAAAACCGACATGATTTGGTTCATCATCTCTTGATGCAACAGTGTTGCTGGCAGATGCAACTGCTTCTTCACCTTCATTTGTCACTTGTGTAAGAATGTAAACTGCAGGTCTAATAACACAGAGGAAGACATTCTCGAAGGAGGCGTCTGGCTTTTGACAATAGATGGAAGAATAGAGGGTGTCTGTGTATGTCGATTGGACTCACAAACCTTTTATTTTTTTATAGAGTTTGAATTGTTCTTCTGATTTTAAAACGAATAAAGTGTGGATCGTAAAGAAAAAGAAAAGGAGAGTCGTGGGAGTGAATAGGTTTAATGAGAACAACAGATTCATTAAACATGTGAAATCAAAATGTTGAAATAGGGTAAACAAGATATGTAGATGAAGAGACAGAGGAGGTAAAACATGAAGGGGAATGTTTGGTTTTTCTCAAACAATGGATACACTAAAGTTCAATAGTCGACGGAAGAGTTCAATAACAGAAGAGACGCCTCATCACCTAAGCCTAAACGCATAGTTTTGTTATCTTTGGCTAAGTGCTTTAGAATGGGCTTTTAAATATAAACTACAAACTCACACCAGCCCACACATAATTATACCAAATCAAAACACATTGATAAAGTGGTTGACCGGATGGAATAACACGCGGATCCTACAGGAAGCTTGAAACTCAACCATTATAATATAGTCCCCGCGTAAACGCGGTTCAGAGATATAATTGATGTATTTTATAATTTTATTATATCTTTTGATGTTTGACATATAAGCTGGACCGATATAGCGTGTGAAGTCTTTTGTATTAGTCAATAAAGTTTTCAAAAGTTCAGTATATCCGCAAACATTATGCAGTCTTGTTAAATGTCAAAAGTTCTTCTCAATCTTCTCTAATTCTCATAAATTCGCCATTTTTTATATTCTGAGAATCCCATAAACGGAGGCGACAAACAACCATAAACTAAACAGTTCGACTAAAGTAAAGAGAATCAAAAGTTGAGACGCATGAAACGACTTTAGCAACCGAAGCAAAAGCTGAAGTTATTTTCCCAGAAGATGTGATAATATTTGACTAGAAAAAGAATTAATGAGAGAATCAGAGATGAATGGTTTCTCCGTTTAGATATAGTATATATATATATATATATATTAAGCGTAATGCATGAGGTATTATGAACATGGTTCATTATTACTTAACAGAGTAAATGGGTACTATTATGCAATCTTGTTAAATGC